GGGGGGGGGGGCGGTTTCTAGGGAGCTGCTGAGAGATGCAGAAAAGCGTGGTTTGAAGATCTGGGAGAACCGTCTGCTGGAGGGAGGCCTTCCCCTGGCCCCAGAGCCATCTGCTGCTTGGTAGGTGGCTGTTTTTCCTGTTGTTGATTATTAACCAAGGGTTTGACCCTGAGAGTAGATTCCCAGGTTAGAACTAGTACTTATTTGAAATGCCAGAAATGTTTTCTAAGACATTTAAATAGCCCTGGGCACTTTGTTCTCTGTTTCAACTTGGAGACCAGATCACCATTTCATGAGTTATAATCATCACGGTCATTATCATCATCATGGTCTACATTTGTATAGGGCTTTATATTTTATTTCAAAGCTATTACTTTTACCTCCTTAGGTCATTCTTACCCCCATCTTTGCCAGTAATGGAACTGAAACACAGAGAGATGAGGTAACTTGACCAAGGTCACACAACAGGGTGGGTGGCAGGCACAGGTACACTTACACCCTAGGAGAAATTCCTTGATCCCATTGTAGGGCACTCTCCACAGCAGTGTGCCAGAGATGGTGGTTGTAGTGACCTCAGATGGTATGGGCAGAGCCATCTTCAGATAGGACAGGGACATGGCCTGGGTGCTGTAATGGGGCCCTCCCCAGGGGTCAGTCCAGCTCCATCTGGCAGAATCATTTCCTCTGGGTTCTCAGCTTCCACTCCAGGCCCCTTTGATCACTTCCTCTTGACATTTGATTTGGCTAAAGACTTGACCAAGGTTACACAGCAGGTGGCTAGGTCCTGCTGGCTAGGACCTCTCCTGGCTTCCCTGAATCCTCCCATCTGATCCAGGGTCTCCCACACTTCTAGGGGAAGAATCCCCAGCACCTGAGCTGAGATGCTGAATTGTGGGCGTCTCCAGGATTCCCCAGGTGCAGGAGACTCCTGACCAGCTGAGTGTATACTTTTTCTCATCTCCTCCATCCTCCTTTTCCCTTCCTGTGTTGGTCTGGGACCCCTTAGGGCTGTGTGTATTTGGCTGGGTTGTGAGCCAGTTTTCTTTTCTTTCTTTCTTTCTTTCTTTTTTTTTTTTTTTTTTTTTGAGACAGGAGCCTCAAGCTGTCTCCCTGGGTAGAGTGCCGTGACATCACAGCTCACAGCAACCTCCAACTCCTGGGCTCAAGCAAGTCTTCTGCCTCAGCCTCCTGAGTAGCTGGGACCACAGGTGCCCGCCACAACGCCCGGCTATTTTTTTTTTGGTTGCAGCTGTCGTTGTTGTTTGGCGGCCCCAGGCTGGATTCGAACCTGCCACCTTGGGTGTATGTGGCTAGCGCCTTAGCTACTTGAGCCACAGGTGCCGAGCTGTGAGCCAGTTTTCAATCTCAGTGCCATGACATGTGGCAGGATCACTGTGGGTCACCAGAATTTGTCACCTCTGCTGAAGATTAGCCTTTTAGTTATAATAAATTAAGGCACATTCAAGGTTATCCCTGGATACAGTCACATCACTTTCACCTACTCATGTGTGATATGTTTGCCTGAGTGGGTGAGAAAGGTCTAGAATTGCATTGAGCACTGCTGCCCTTGCTCTATCTTATCTCAGCACCAGCTGGTGGCTGGCCTGGGCCTGGCCGTCCTTGAGAGGGTGACTCACATGAACATGTCATAGGTTGTGAGCGCTGGGGCAGGATTGGGCCGAGCACAGCTGATCAGAGCAGAGTACGGTAGAAGCAGGATTTCATCTTCCTTGTTTTCAGTCCTCCAATCTCAAGGCTAAGCCTAGAACTTGGGACTTGGGTGCTCCATTCATTTCCTGGGGCTGCCATTACCCAGTGCCACAGATGGTGGCTTAAAGCAAACAGACATTTGTTGTCTCAGTTCTGGAGGCTAGAAGTTCTGAATCAAGATGTCAGTAGGGCTGTACTCCTCTGAAGTTCTTAAGGAAGAATCCTTCCTTGCCTCTTCTAGCTTCCTGTGGTGGTTGGCAGTTCTTGGCTTATAGCTGCATCACTTCAGCCTCTGCCTCTATCATCGTGTATTCTCTCTGTGTGTCTTTGTCTTCACATCACATTGTTATTTTATTTTATTTTTTGAGACAGAGTCTCCCTCTGTGCTCTGGGTAGAGTGTCATGGCATCATCGTAGTTCACAGCAACCTCAAACTCTTGGGCTTGAGCAATCCTCTTGCCTCAGCCTCCCAAGTAGCTGGGATTACAAGTCTGCCACCTTGCTTGGCTAGTTTTTCTATTTTCAGTAGAGACGAAGGTCCCACTCTTGCTCAGGCTGGTCTTGAACTCCTGAACTCAAGCAATCCACCCGCCTCAGCCTCCCAGAGTTTTAGGATTACAGGCGTGAGCTGCCGCGCTCGGCCCACATTGTTCTTGTAAGGATTCTGGTTGTATTGAATTAATGGCCTACCCTAATGACCAGATGACTTGATTGCATTACAAAGCTATTTCCAAATAGGTCATGTTCATAGGGAGTGGGAGTTAGGATTTCAACAAATCTTTTTGGGTGTGTGTGTGGGGGTCATGATTCAATCCATAAACAGGCATTGGCTCTTAAAGAGGAGGGAAGGCTAGGTCAAGGGTGGGGACAGTGATTTATGGCCTGTGTCCCCCACAGGTTTCACTCCAAACCATCTGTATACCAAGGCAGGTGGATTCTAACTTGTGACCAAGAACCTGTGTGTTCTCTGAGTCCTGATCTTTTTGAGGGCAGCGGTCATGCCTTCTTCCTATCCTGGCATCCCCTCTGGAGTCTTGGACGCAGCCCTGGAGCTAGCATGAAGCTGGTTGCCCTGGTGCTCATTCCTGCTTCAGTGCCTTCCAAGCTCCCAAGTATTACTTGGAAAATCCTTCTGGCTGCATATGCCCTGTGCACCCACTTGGTAGTCCTCACCACTCCTTGGGAGATAGCCCCCAGGATCTTGTGCAGGGGAAACATGGTAGAGAGGCTCAGCCCAGAGAGAGTCAGGGGCTGGTGTCCTTTGATCAGGACTCAGGGGCCTTGGACAATCATCATATCTGCTCTGGCCCCATGGGCATGGACATCTTGCACCCTATGGAAAGAAACAGGTGGCATGACTGTGTATGTAAGCATCCCCTGACTGGTGGTGACAGAAACCTGCCAGCATTGCCCTCCAAGTGTGTTCCTGGAGGGCCAGGGCAGCTGTTGGTCAAGGTGTCCACAAGCTGGGTCCAGGGGAATAGGCCCAGAGGTCCTCAGCTAAGCACAGAACAGCAGCCCTATAGACCTTGGAGGGTGGGGAGGGCTTGCCTTCCCTCTCTCCCTGAATACTCTTCCCTACCAGGCTCCCAGCCCCCCTGGGGAGCTGCCCTTGTCCTCACCTGGGTGACCTGCTCTCTATCCTTGGTCATCCTCCCACCCTTCTTTATCTCCATCCTGGCTTTCAGGGTCCAGGGCCATTGAGGAAGAGCAGTGGCTGCTTGGGAGGGGCCCAAGTGGTAGGAGGGGCCCCACTCTATTGGGTCCACAGGCATCTGCTGGTCAGAGCAGCCAGGCACGACCACCCAGTGATAATGTTCAAGACCATAAACGGTGGGGAGGCTGGTGGCTGTAGCCGAGTGTGAGAGTGTGTGTGCATGCAGGTATGTGCTTTTGTGGCCCTGATGGTTCTTGTGCCTGGTTGGAAGGGAGGGGCCTCCTCTCCAGCTGTGATAGGTTACATCAAGGTCCAGAAAGAGAGAAGGAGGAAGGTGGAAGAGCAGAAGAGGGGGATTGCCAGGTTGAGTCTAATGAGGTCGTACAGATCTGCTGCGAAGCCAGACGTTCACCAGAATCCTTATCTGGATGCTTAGGGGACAGTAAGGGGTGGCCAGTGGCAGGGGCAGGCAGGGGTTGTTGTGCCAGAGTAGACACAACCTGTGGTTCTCAGGAGGTGTCCTTAGCCTGGGCCTGCCCATGGGCCAAGGGGAGCCAGGATGGGCTGGTGTGGGCCAGGGCTTCCCTCTGCGGTGCTGGAGGGCTGGACTCTGTAGGGAGGGTGGGTTTCTCTCATAAAGAAGGCTCGGGATTAGAATTTTTGTCCTGTTGACAGAGTGTGGGCTGAAAAGAGGTATAGAAGTGTTCTTTCAAGGTGGCAGTAGGGGTCCTTTGGTTATTTAAGCAGGACCCAGCTGTTGGGCTGTTTTAGGGAGGGGCTCTGGAGAAGGAAACACTTGTAAGGGTGAAGGCTTTGACAGCTCAGCACGGTCTTCTTGGGCTCCTTATGCTGTCACTTGAGCCTCCTTGGCCCCTCCAGGGAGATAGCCAGGGCATACCCAGTCCTTTGCCCGGGGACTCCCCAGGTTCTGCCCAGCTGGCTTTGTTGTATAACCGTTGCTGGGAAGGCTTATCCTGTCCCAAACAGTCTGCAAACAAGCACTCTCTGGTCCCTAGCAAGGGCCAGATGGAAAGTGGGGAGTGTGTGAGGGCAGTGAACTTGTCCCTTGTCCCAATCATGTTGCCATGGTGACACAACTCTGTTTAGTTACCTCTCCATGGTCCTAGCCCACACAGACTAAAATAAGTTTTACCTGCAGCTTGCACAGCAGACAGCCCTGTCCTCCCAAGGTCAGCTTTCTGACCAGGGCCTGTGTGTGTGGACAAGAGGGGCCTAAGTGAGAAGGAATCCCTCGAGTTTATCCTCTTCCCCTTCTCCTTCCACCCCAGCCCAGTCCTGTAGCTCTCTGGATTAGTGGTCCTCCTTGTGCATCAGAATCACCTGGAGAGCTCGTTAGAACACAGATTCGTGAGCGCCATCATGGGAGCGTCTCAAGTGCACCTGAGAATTTTCATTTCTAGCAAGTTTCCAGGTGTTGCTGGTGGTCCAGGGGCAACTCTTGGAGTAGCACTGCTTTAGATCTGGTACATCCCACAGCACAGAAAATGCACCCAACTCTCATGTCTGCCCTGCTCATTAAACTGTCCCAAAGCCCAGTGACTCTTGGAGGACTGAGGGGCAGGCACAGGCAGATCCTCACTCACCTTTTCTTTGTTTTTTGCCCTCTTTACAGGAAGCAGGAGCTAGCCAACAGCTCTGAGGTGAGCCTCCCAGACCGGCCGCTGTCCCCTCCTCTCACAGCGCCTCCCACCATGAAGGTAAGAGGCTCAGATTCGGCGAGCAGGGAGGGGAAGTGTGTGGGGAAGTCTGAGGTCTTGCAGGGAGGGGAAGTGTGTGGGGAAGTCTGAGGTCTTGCTGTCGCCTTGGCTACAGGCCCACCTGCTCCCATTCTGTTGGGGATGTTGAGTGCCCAGACACCTCTAGAGGTAGCGTCAATTAAGCTCACCAGTGTGGGAGGAAGGTGTGACTGGAGACTTGGGTGTCTGGGTCAAGAGGCCATGAGGAAATAGATTGAGGCTGAAACGGGGTGGCAGGACTCTTAGTAATTGGTGAGAAGCCTTGTACCCCTTGGTGGGGTTTGAGGATGAGGGGCCCAGGCTAGAGGAATTGGGGGATACAGAAGGCAGCTAAGTGTCTCAAGGGCTGCAGTCCAGAAGGACTGCCTGGGGCTGGGTGGGGCCCTCCTGGGACTTGAATGGCACTTGCATGTTGGCCAACCTGCCTCTGACTGACTCTCGTGGGATGGCCCTGTCATCCCAGTTCTTGTCCTATTAGCACTTTATTCATAAGCCTCTTTTCTGGGGAGACCACATCCTAGGACCCCAGGCCAGGAACCCTCCCATTCTTGGTACCCTCCTACCACATGCCCTCCCCTCCAGTTTTTAGTACCTCCTGGCAAAGGCTAGCCACACAGGCCTGAGCTGGCCCTCAAGGAGGACTTTTAGCTCAGCCAGCTCCCTGCCTAGGCTGTTGTGCTCCTTTCTCCCTCCCTTCCTTCCTCCCTCCCTCCCTCCTCCCTTTACACTTTGCAGGGTGAGTGAGGACTAGCTCTGAAGAAGTCACCTGCCTCCTGAGTCAGCTGAGGGGATATCTAGACCAACACCTATCTCTGTCCTGGGGTTTTGCTCTGAGGTGACTCACAGGAAATAATTAGGCATCTCTTTCCACTGCTCCATATTGGCTCTCCTCTTCCCTGACCTAATGTGTTGCAAGGTGACACCCCTAAAAGAAGCAGATAAAAGCCATCCTTCCCACCATGAACAGGGCCATGTGGTAGACACTGAGGGGTATATATGGAATGGCAGCCAGAGCCTTCTCTGGGTGGGTGAGGAGCTCAGCACTGGGCAGGGAGAAGGACAGAGTGCAGGGCTAACCGATGACAGCTCTGTTCTCCTCCTTCTTGAGTACCCAGTGCTGGTATCTGAGCCAAGTGCTGGGGTAGCTCATTTGCACAATCATGCTAAGAAGCATGTCACCATTCTGGATTTCAGCCCCTTGGTCTGCAGGGTTGGGTGTGGGATGCTTGTCTCTGTCCTCATGGATGGCAGGAATTTGTAGAGAGAAGACTTGACAATCTCCTAGGAAGAGTCACTGACTGAGTTCTCTTGGCTGACTTTATTCACTCGTGTACTCATTTAAATCATTTAACACCCAATATTTATTTGAATGTATTAGTCAGGACTCTTGGTTGCAAATGACAGAAACATAACCCACTTTGACTTTGGCATAAAAGGAATTATTATTTTGCTTTTGTAATGGTTGGTATAGATGCCAGGTATGGCTGTATCTGAGAAATCTCTCTCATTCATCCTTTCTTCTGTGTTGGTTTCATTCTTTGTTAAGCTCTGCCTCTGTGGCAGGATGGTGACAGTATATTGAATAAGTAACCACAGTGCAATAAGTTTTCCTCAGTGGTTATGACAAAGTCCCAGGGAAGAAGCTCATTGGCCTGGCTTAGGTCACATGTCTACCCCTGAACCAGTCATTGTGACCAGAGAGGTGAAAGACTCTGATTAGCCAGACCTGGATCTCATGACCACCCCTAAACCATAAGAACTGAGGGGAGAGAAGGAGTGGGTCCTCAAAGGAAGATTGTAGTGCTATTATGAGAAGAAAGGGAAATGGGGGTATGGCAAGGGAGACCAATAGCTTTCAACTACATATGATAATGACATGCCAGGCCCTGTGCTGGCTTGTGGAGACCTTGTAGTGAACAAAACATATGGTCTCTGCTTTCCTGGAGCTTGCAGCCTAGCTAGGGGGCCAAAAATTGAAAAAAATATTGTCAAGAATGAGGGACGGACAGATATATGTGATGAATGTTCTAAAGGAGGAGCAAGACATAGCTCAGGGAGAATGTAGGGTGACAGGGTGGGGGACCCTAACCTGGCTTCAGAAGGGTCAGGTAGGGCTTCTTTGAGGAAATGATATTTCAGCTGAGCCCCGAGAGTTGGATAAGAGGTAGATAGCAGTGGAGTCAGAGTGGAGGAAAACCTTTCAGCGGTTCTCAACCTGTGGGTCACAACCGCTTTGTAACAATGAAAATACATTGGGGCATTAGGAAGATTGAGAACCACTGTTCTAGATCCTTGCTATTCAAAGTGGGACCCAGGGACCAGCCTCACTCATCTTTGGGAGCTTCCTTAGAAATGCAGAATCTCAGCCGCACCCCAGAACACTGAGTCAGAATCTGCATTTTGCCAACATTTCCAAGTGATTGTGTGCACGGGACAGCCAGAGAAGCACTGTGGATGGCAGTGAAAATGCCCTGAAGCCAGTGAGAGAGAGATTTGCACCAAGAGGAGCAGGAGGAAGCCCAGAATGGCTGGTGCCTCCAAAGTTAGGGCTTCTGAAGAGGTTGGGCTTGTGGGTAGGGACCAGATCAAATAGGCACTTGTAAATTTTGCTAAAGACTTTGGAGTCTATCCTAATTAGAGCACTGAAGTCATTGAAGATTTTAGTCCAAGGATTAAGATGATGGCACTTTGGAACAATCACCAGAGCTGTTGTGTGGAGAATGTGTGGGAAGGAAAGTGGAAAGCTGGGGCTGTTGTGTGACTCAAGGGGCCAGGGGGGTGATTTGAAAGTGGTCGGACCTCAGATTTCCCAGGTGGTAAATTGGTGAAGATAAGAGGATGTGAGGTGCTAACGGAAAAGAAGTCAGCCTCTGTAAAATAATTTTTTTTTTGAAACAGAGTCTCACTTTGTCACCCTTGGTAGAGTGCTGTGGTGTCACAGCTCACAGCAACTTCCAACTCTTGAGCTTAAGCAATTCTTTTGCCTCAGCTTCTTGAGTAGCTGGGACTACAGGTGCCTGCCACAACGACCAGCTATTTTTTGGTTGCAGTTGACATTGTTGTTTAGCAGGCCCTAGCGAGCTTGAACCCACCAGCTTTGGTGTATGTGGCCAGTGCCCTAGTCACTGAGCTACAGGTGCCAAGCCAGCCTCTGTAAAATAATTTTAAAAGGTTTATTCTGAGCCAAGCTTGAGGACCATTGGCCAGAGCCATGCCCAAGGAGCCTTGAGCAAGCGGACTTGCTGAGGTTGGGTTGTAGTTTGGTTTTATGCATTTCAGTGAGACAGGAATTGTGTGTAAAGTCGTAAATCTATATGTGGGAGGTGTCATTGGTTTGGCCCTAAAAAATTGGACATCTCCAAGTGGGAAGAGGTCTACAGGTTATAAGTGGGTTTAAAGACTCTTTAATTTGTAATTGATTAAAGAAACAGAGCTTTGTCAAAGGCTGGGACTATTTTAAATTAGGATAAGGGGGGTCTCTTAATTAGAGATAAGCCCTATACCCAGACTCAAGTGATTTGTCAGGGAAAATGAGGACCTGCACGTGTGGTTTAAGCCTTGTCTTTGAGCCTGAGGCTTCTTAATGAGTTACAAACTGTATCTCCATGAGGGAGGGGGCATGATGAGGCCTGTCTGACGTCCCTCCTCTTGGTCAGCGACTCAGCTTTAGGGTATTTCTGGGGTTCCCTTGGCCAAGAAGGGGTCCATTCAGTCAGCTGGGGGGGGCTTAAGATTTTATTTTAGTTCAGAGAGGCAAGGGAGAAGGTGAGAAAGGCCCCCAGGTTTGCAACAAGTGGTTACTTGGTGCAGCCATTCTCAGAGATAAGGGGTGGCCCTAGGAGGTAGGATGAGAGTCAAATTCTAAGGGTCAAATTCTGGGTTTGAATATGCCTGAGGTATGAATCGGGGTGTCAGTGAGCAGGTGCCGAAGAAAGGTCTGAACTGGAGGTGAATTTCTGGGAGTCCTCACAGGGAAGGGAATTGAAGCTTTGGGATGAGTGAGCTCTCCAGGGAGAGTGATAAGAGTCTGTTGGGTGGCACTATGATGAGTGTCACAGGTAAAGGTGTGGCTGGGGTCTCTGTAGAGGAGACCCGGCTGAGACAGGGAGGGAGGGATGGGCAGTTGTGCTAACTGCTGCAGCGAGGCCAAGTATGATGTGAGTGCACAGTGGCCACTGGGCTCAGGGACCTGGCGGGTGCTGGGGATCCAGCTCAAACAGTCCTGAGGAGGGATGGGGGTGGACAGTGGATGGCAGTGTGCCGAGGAGTGGGTGGAGATTGTGAGAGTCAGAGGGTGTTGTAGATGATACTCGTGAGATGGGGAGACTTGAATGTGTGGAAGTGTTGAAAGGAGGGAGCCAGGAGTGTACAAGGAAATGGGAGAGAGGGGAGGGTGATGAAATCTGGACCATGGCGAGGATTAGTGGTGAACATATTCATTCGAAAATGCTGTGTGGGCCGGGCACAGTGGCTCACACTGCAATGCTAGCACTCTTGGAGGTTATGTGGGGAGGATCACGTAAGGCCAGGAGATCTTGTCTCTACAAAATATAGAAAAATTATCTGGGCGTGGTGGTGGGCACGTGTAGTCCCAGCTCCTCCAGAAGCTGAAGCAGAGGATCATTTGAACCCAGGAGTTTGAGGTTGAAATGCACTATAAGGACGCCACGCACTGTAGCTTGGGTGACAGAGCAAGGTCCTGTCTAAATAAAAAAATGTTTTACGAACATCTGTTAGATTCCTGCCCCTGCTGTGTCCTGGCCATCCCAGGCTGTCAGGGAGGGGGCTTCAGAGAAGCCCAGAGCAGAGCAACAACCTTCAGAGACACCTCAGTGACTGACGCATGCTCAGAAGACCTCCCTCCTGCCCTGCCCCCCACCAATGCTCTGTCCTCTTTGAGCTCAGCTTAGGAATTTCCCAGCCTGTGGCTTTACTGTCCAGACCCGAAGGGTAGGGGCAGA